CTTAATAGAGAGGCAATCATTTAAGTTCATTTAAAACTGCAAAATACATTTTCCTAAAGCATCTGGTGAAAATATTTCTTTAATAACATTATTTAGCAATAACATTGTGCATTGCTTTGTAATAGTGGAATGATTTGATATATTGTGAGTATGCTGATTTTATTATTCAGAATTGCAGTTAATAACAGTAATTATATTATACAACTATTTAGCAATTAGCTAGTTCATTTCTATTGTCAGCTTAAATTTTGGTTATTTTGGTTTGGTTTGGTTTGTGGCATATCAACACCTCAATGGGTTATTTAATGCCGACAAGATTTTTTTATTGCTGCTAATATTTTTTATTCAAAAATATATTGCTGATATTTTTTTCAAAAATGTATTGCTGGTAAAAATTTTTCCAAAAAGTACTGCTGGTATTAAAACCTATTTTTATACTGTCATAGTGTTTTGATCCCTTTTGTGGGGTTAGCTATTTGGCCATAGCTGGGACCTTGACTGGTGCTACCACCCCAAGTCAGCAATTAAGAGGTGGTTCTATACTCCTCAAAACCTTCTGATCAAAGGCCTTGTTGTTGGATGTAGTTTATCATCTTACCCAGGACGAGGATGTAGTTTATCGTCATATGGAATTGTTATTTTATTGGAAATGTGATGATTGAATTGATAAGAAAATATGAGCAGGCTCAGAGAATGTTCATTTTATTTTTTTTTTGCATAAAAAGTCAACATGAAGCATAAAAAATATGAATCTCAACATTTATAAGAATTTTTACCTGAATTTCTAACAAATTTATTTAACAAACTGTACCCCATTTTATTTTTGTAATATGATATATTTATTTGAATATTGTTTCTCTGATGCATTGAATTCCTTCAAACCACTTTCCTCACTTTTTTGTTTTTACCACATTTGGATATAGCTATATGTGTCACTCTGCAGTTGTCTTCATGTGTTTATCACATTCAGTATCTTAACCATTTATCTCATTCAAAACAAAATTGTCAGATTGGCATATATTTGATATGTTACTGGAATATTTGATATGAATAACCAACTACTTCAGATTTTGTTCTACATGCAAATGTCTGAAGTTAATTTCTTTCAGTTAAAGTATCAAAACCTTCATAAATATTAGAAAGATAAGAAAAAATGTAGCAAGAAGAGAATAAAACTCCATCATAATAAAACATGAAAAATACTTCCTGATCTATGATTGCATATAGACAAAACTAAAATACAAAATGATCTGGAAAATCATATCAGCAGGAATTTAAAAAAGTCAACAAAATATACCAGATATAAAAATTCTGGAGGCTGAAAGACAAAAGTGGGGTTACTATCAAGCAAATAATAAATTTAGATATATTAGCTTTAATTGAGGAAGTTTCTGTCAAGTATTAGAGAAAAACTGGTCTTGTAAAGAAAGCATCACACAAAAGAATTAAAACCTTCTTCTTCTTCTTCCTCTTCTTCTTCTTTCTCCTCCTCCTCCTCTTCTTCTTCTTTTTCTTCCATGTGTTGTGTTCCTTCAGGATGTTGGCAACCATAGCTCTCCACAATTTATTGTACTTTGTAGCTCTTAATAAATTTTGTATTTTGTTTTCTCTCTTAACCCTTGTTCTGCCATCCCTTTACTCAAACTTGCTAGGTAGGTCATGTGTTGATTTCCTATGTTCCTCTGGTCTTAAATCTGTGCTGTGGGTATCAAAATTTCCAAGCCTTCTTTCCTCAGTATGTGCCCCAGAAATTTCAAATGTCTCTTCCTGAAGTTAAGTATAAGTGCCTTTTTATTTCCATTTTCTCTAAAACTTTGTTGTTGCATAAAACCTTACAGAGGGATAATAGTTTAATTATATTACCAGAAAACAAAGGCAATGTACAGTTAGGATGGAAAAATTGGAGCATTTAGTAATATTGTCAAAGTTAGTGAAGGTTGGTTGATTATTGCAAACTAAAAAAGAAACCCAATATTAAAAGTTGAAAAGAAGTTGATATAGATTGTAAAGAGATCACTTCACTCACACTACATTTAATCAGTTGAATATCACATATATATGGTATCCAGAAAATATATAAAGAAAATTTTCCATTAAGCTACCAAGGTTTTTCATGTCAGCTAATATGTGGCAGGTGGATATTGAAGTGAGCCTTCAGTTGAAATAAAAACTTTATAACCAAGAGATGCAGTTTAGAGGCTATTCCAACTTCTTACAACACCTGACAGCTTTTTATATTGTTCTAGCTCACAACCATTACCCATTTTCACAGAAATCTTCTCAATTGAAGGAAAAACGGTGGGAAAGTTATGTTGTACTAATATTAAGATATTAGCTAAGAAGGAACAATCTAAATGTCTATCTTGACAATAAGCATTTCATATGCTATTCTTTTTTATTAGGTTCTAATTCTGTTTGCTGCAATGACCTTTTCAATACCAGCCATTTATCATTTCTGCCATAAGGCATAAAAATCTTTCAAAAAGATGCTCCATTTTTCCATATGACTATGCTAGAAAGCTTTCTTTAATGATTGTAGGACCTTAAAAATATAACAATGCATAACAATAAACCTGACAATATAAAAAACAACAACAGGTATCTTCTCATTTAAAACTGTAGAAAGGTTCTTCAAAATGAGAAAAGAACATTCCAATATACAGAATCAAAAGATACTGAAAGTAAATGAAATATTTCCTCACTTCTGATGGGTCTTCATGAAAACTTTTACTGTGTGCTTAAATTCTCAATTTTCATTGTTTTCTAATAAATAAAAATTTTATATTTTCACTTGAATCAGCTTTTCATATTATTATTATTATTATCATCATCAGGTTATTCCATAAACAATGTCTGAAATGTGATTGCTATAGATTAAAATTGCATTGAACTAAAATGTATTAATCATATGACGACCATCATTTTTAGGTGGAATTTAGCTTTGTATTGTCATCACTGTCAGGCAGATGATTTTTCCTACTGAAAGAAAGAATTGATACAAAGAATATGATTAGAAACTGCTGCCAATTTATTAGGAGCCAGCATAACCAAAATTTATAATGATAGCATGATGTCTGAATATATCCTAATGAAGCCATCTTGGAAAATGTTCCCACTTCCCCAGAGATAGTTTAAAGTTATAGAGTTGACATTAAAAGATTTGGAAAATATTTAATATGATGAAAGCTCCTGCTATTGCATGTTTATAATTTTCTTTGCAATGATAATGAATTGTTTTCATAATAAGACACACTTTTAAAAGCCAATATTTTTTATCAATTTTTTTTTTTTAAACATTACGCCCCAAGCAAGGCGTGAAGCCACTAGGATGCAGGGGATTGCGGAAGATTAGGAGCGAGAGCAGATAGGAATGATAGAAAAAAGGATGAGAAGAAGGATAGTGGGTAGATCAAGGTAACTGGAGGTGTCGGTTGACATTAAATAAGGTTTCAAAACTTTTCCTTGACTAAATTTATCAAATAACTCTTTATGTTCATTTTGTAAAATCATATTCAGTTTATATATTGAATTTCATGTTGATTTGGTAAATTGGACAAGGCTGACATTGTTCCTTGAATTAGGATTCTTAGTGATAATAGTAATAATGGATTTGGAAATTTCTTTAAAAGCATCATGATTAAACATTTCCTTGCAAAAACATTGAATATTATAAAAAGAAAATGTGCAAGTACAATTTTTGCATAATAGCAATAATATACAAAAATGCTTACTTCAAATAATACAATAACTTCATGCAAATTTTAGATAAAGAATTATAATAATGAAATGATAACTGCAACAAGATGACCATTATCTATTGTAACGTATAAATCAATCTTTAATGTGATTAAGAGTTTTACTTTTTGCTAATGACAAGATTTAATGACATTTTCTGAGGTTTGTAAACCTTATCTATAAATTTCAAACAAAATGTGAAGTTAATTCATCACAGACAAGGAGTGAGTCATTATAAGCTTCTTAGATAAATGTATAATGTCTCTCTACATTCATCGACCTACATGTATTCAATTTTCAAGATACTTTGAGTTTTGATACTTTCAAAATATTCCTGTTACATCTTTTTATGCATTTAATTATCATGTTATTCATTTACAATATCCATAATATGATTCATAAAAATGAAGATAAATCTTATATACATTTATCAAGCTTTTAATTATAAAAATCAAGAAAGCTAATTTATAAGTAACATTAAAAGAAAGTAATTTTGTTTATGAAATTTAACTTTAGAATAAAAAGCATTAAAAATTAGCTTTAGAATAAAAAGCATTAAAAAACCTGTGGTCAGTCACTGTGTTGTTCACACTGGGTGATAAATTAAACCATAAGATGAAGGATGTTAAAAATGGAACATCTCATCTGTTTAGCAAGCAACTATCATGCTTTGTTTTAACTACAATAATTCATGTCACTGTGCCATGAACAGCCTAGTTTTTTACAGATGCCCGAGCACAGCTGTTACAAGTTTAGGTATTTCCATGATGTTAATATACAGTGTGGTGTCACTAGAAAATTGAAAGAAGTCACAACAAATTGTTAACCATTTGCATATATTATGCCAGTATAAATTTCAGTGCAAGGAAGTTTTCTTAGCTCAATGCAGAAGGAATTGAAGGACACCTCTGTGTATACATTACAATCACCTGTATTACATGAGTGACTGAACAGTAGTTTGCAATGTTTAATTTGTACTGATAGAATGAACCAAGCTGATTGCTATATCTTATTTTCCATTCACTATCTTTTTCTGTAATAAAAAGGCTGTAAAATGGATTGGTCAATATGGTGTGGCAATTCAAAGAATGAATTTAAGTATCTGAACAAATTTTGGAATATTATTGATGTGTCTCAAAATTAGAGACTAAAGATTTTAGTTGTTTCAAAATAACTCAACAGAATTCATGCAGATTTAGTGATATATTGATTAAAGTTGGCACAGTAAACAAGACATGAATAATATTTGTACTCTAATCATGATTTTATTTAGAAACTGTTTTTAGACATTGAAGCATAGATTTGGTGACTGGCCAATCACTTGGAATTTGCTTCAATACATTCAGCTCTTGTTGGGTTTTCTGTTTTGGAATGTGAAGAGGAGCTGGCTTTCCACATACTGCAAGAAGCTTCCATTCAATTGGTCCAAGTTTCATGAAATCCTATAAGAACAATAAAAAAACTGATTACTGTAAAATGAATAATAATAATAACTGTGTGTAGAAGAATATGTACTCAACAAACAAGCTCTGAGAAAAATCTTTTATGTAGGTATATCGGTAAACTGAATGATAAAAAAGCAATTATTTTATTCAAGAATTATTTTTATCACATAAATTGCTTCATTTCAAAGTATTAAGAAACAGGACAATTTCATTATTTACATTATTCGGACTATTGTCCTCATCTTTGTCGCCATATTTGTCACAACGTTTCAGCCGTTGTATGCTCCAGCCTTGGAGTGGTTGGAATTTCGAACTGAACCCTTTATTTCAATCACTGGGGTAGACTGTCCTAGTTCCACGTGCATGTTTGATGGATGTCAGTTATCAGTTATCTCCTGCTAATTTTCCCTCTGAAAGTTCTCCATTGCCTTAACCGGGTATTGAACTCACACTCTTTGAATCTGTCACTGGATCTAACCAACGCCTTTATCCATTGTGCCATGTGTCCTTTAGGGTATGAATTTCTGGGTATTATAAACCTAATGTTTTCAGCAACCATTTTTACCAGTGCTCATATTGCAATTTTGCTGTTATCATTGCATGTTTTTACCAGAGCTCATATTGCAACTTTGTTATCATTGCCTTTCTCTGGCACTCCTTATTACTGGTTCCCATATTGTATTTATTTCTATGCTTGGTCGGCTCAGGAGATTTTTGTGGCCTAGCATATGTGCTGATTCCTTAAGTTTACGAATTTTCCAATGGTGTTCCCTGTCTATGATCTCAACATGATCCCACAGGGGACAGTGATCTCCCTTCTCTCTCCATATGTGGTCAGCCACGCCTGATTTTTCCATTTCCCCTCGTGTTACAGCTTTCTGGTGTTCTTGAAGCCTTACCTTGAGGGGGCGGCCTGTCTCTCCTTTATATTCCTTTCTGCATCTGCACGGGATAGCGTACACACAGTCTTTAGTCATGTTCTCCTCTATGGGGGGTCTCACTCGAGAGAGATATCTGTGAAGTGTTGTCACACTTTTGAAGGCTGTCCTGATGTTATATGGACCGCAGATCCTTTGTATTTTCTCTGATAACCCCTTCACATAAGGCAGGCAGACTGTTTTCTGAGTGTTGTTGTCCTCTTCCTCCTCTTGTACCCACCTATCCCAGTTTTTGGGGGCTGCTGCCATGTACCCAGGGTAGTTGTTACGTTGTAGGGTACTACTTATACTGACCAATTCCTCATCTAACGTCTCTGGGTCACCACTTATGACTTTTGCTCAATGTTGTAAGCAACAGACGGTCCCTTTCTTTATGCTGTATGGATGGTGGGAGTTGAAATTGAGGTACTGTCCGGTGAATGTTGGTTTACGGTATACGGATGTTTTGAACCCATGCTCTGTTCGGGATATTAGTACATCCAGGAATGGGAGTGTGTTGTTACTCTCTTTCTCCATTGTGAACTGTATCGAAGGTCTTATTGAGTTCACATGGTCCAGTAGAACCTGGACATCTTCCTGGTGTGGCCAGAATATGAAGGTGTCATCTACATACCTTAACCATGTAGTTGGCTTTAGAGATATAGATTCTAATGCCATTTTCTCAAAGAATTCCATGTATATATTCACCATTGCTGGTGATAATGGTGAGCCCATTGCTAAGCCCTCATGCTGTTGATATATGTGTGATCCCATTCCAAAGTGTGTTGTTTGTGAACAGAAAGTCAACATCTCCATCAGATTATCTATTGGAATACTGGTCTGTTCTTCTAGGGAAGAGTCAGAGGCCAATCTGTCTCTGACTACTGAGAGTGCCTCCTCCATGGGTACCCTGGTGAACAAACTCACCACGTCCAAGCTCACCATCTGGTTGGATAGGATGGGAGCATCTTTGATTATTTCCATGAAGTGGGCAGAGTTTCGGACATATGAAGGAGACTTTCCGATCAATGGGTCAATTACATCTACAAGGAAGCGACTCAGAGGGTGGCACACAGAGCCTTAGCAACTAACAATCGGCCTGAGTGGAATACCATCTTTGTGAATCTTAAGGGGACTGTATATGTGAGGTAGCTTGGGGGAAGTGGAAAAATCAGTCGTGGCTGACCACATATGGAAAGAGAAGGGAGATCACTGCCCTCTGTGGGATCAGGTTGAAATCATAGACAAAGAACACTTTTGGAAAATTCGTAAACTTAAGGAATCAGCACATATGCTAGGCCACAAAAATCTCCTGAGCTAACCAAGCATGGAAGTGAATACAGTATGGGAACCAGTAATAAGGAGTGCTAGAGAAAAGTGATAATAACAACAAAAACAACCAGTGACAGGACCAAAAGAGTGTGAGTTCAATACCCGGTTAAGGCAGTGGAGAACTTTCAGAGGGAAATTAACAGGAGATAACTGATAACTGACATCCATTAAAAACATGGCACATGGAACTAGAACAGTGAGTGAAATAAAGAGTTCAGTTCAACATTCCAACCACCTGAAGAAGGCCATTGTGTACAACAGCTGAAACGTTGTGATAAATATGGTGACAAAGATGAGGACAATTGTCCAAATAATGTAAATAATGTACATAATACCTCATCTCAGAAATATAGACAGATACTTTTTAGAAACAAAAATGTAATATGTAATATTAATCCTATATGGCAGTGAATACTGAACAGTTTTTTACAGATGAGGAGGAGACTTGAGGCAACAAAAATGTAGGTCTACAGAAAGATGCTGGGAATGTAACAAATGGGACATGTGAACAACAAAGAAGCTTTAAGGAAATGGAAACAAAAGAGGCAATTATACTTAGAAACAGAATGAGTTGAAATTTCTAGGGCAAATAATGAAGAAAGAAGTCTTAGAGAATTTGACACTCACAAGCAAGGGAAACAGAGGAAATGGTACATAATCTACCTAACAAGCTTTTGTATATGGATGGCAGAATAGGGGATGGGAGGGATAATAAAAAGACAAACATTGCTAAGAGCTACAAAGGATAGGAAAATATGGTGAGTCATGACGTCCTATGGTAAGGAAGGCTTGTAGCTTGGTGGCTGGTGGCCTTGCCAGGCCGTGATTGACTGGTGTTGTTCTCAGAGACCTGCTTTTAAGTGGGTCTGGTAGTCCTCAGAGGCATTCATGATTGGCTATTGCTGAAGCTTGCTTTGTAGATGAGACATGATCTGTGGAGCCTTATGCACAGAAAATGATTTTTGTTATTTCGTTCTCTGACTTCGTAGCATTCACATCCAGCCAGTATATGCAGAATGAGTCAGAAAGAGATCTAATTACAACAGAGTATAATATAATGAATGTAGTGAAAATAATACCATGAATAACATATTTTGTAAATAAAAAATAAAATCTATTCTTTTTATGTTTGAAGATCTTTGATATTGTTTGTTTTGTTTGTTTTATTCACTTACTTTTTTTTTTCCTCATTGAATGGAGCCATAAAATATTTTATGCATCACATCAAGAAAAATGGAGAATGCCAATTGCAAGTTTCTGTCAATTATGGAATGCAAAAGAACTCATTTAGAAGACATGAGAAAAACTAAGCACAGTTGCTTTGCCTGAGTGACATAAACAACAAATGGAAGATAACATCATCAGATTACTGAGCTCTCTAGCAGCAACAACAACAATAACAACATGAATACACAAAAGATTCACATACCTATCATTGGCTTCAATGCTTATAAAAAATATGACAGTGATAAACATAAAAGTTGGTATTTGCTGTAATTCCTGTGCAAATATTATTTAGATTATGATGTATTGTACTCACCAAAAAGATAAAAAGAATCAATGAAGAAGCCAGTGTAATAATAAAACTCAAATGGATAAGAAGAACTCCACAATAATATTAAAAAATCCTCACTGATGAATAGATTATTTATTTTAATATGAAAAACAGAATTTGTTAGCATTGAAAAATATTTTTTATTAATTATATATGCTGTACAACATTGAAAAAATTTATTTTCAAAATGTACATTAAATGAGGGTATATAAAATTTATGTAAAAGACAGCAAATTAAAAAAAAATGAATATTTTATAATAGCAAATAAATAAACAATGTTTGTTGCAAAATTTAAATAGGTAAGACAAGTTCTTGATTTTTGTTGTAAAAATTAAAATATTGAAATACAAAAGTGAATAAAAAACAAATTCAAATAAAATATTCTCAGCAAAATGCCAAAGGCAGGTTAAAACAAATAGAAAAATGAAGATGTTTTAAGTTTGCATTTAGTGGAAAATTGTAAACTCTTGGCAAAATAGTAGATAAGTAAATAGATAAGTAAATAGTAGATAAGTAAATATAGATGATGCACTTGTTTAATCAATGTTAAAAATATCTCATATTACAAAATAAAATTATCACATATTACAGAAAAAATGAAAGCATGATTTTAATCAGGAATAAACAGAAGCATTAACAAAATGAAATAAAAAAATGAAAAAATACCAGTTAAATACATTCATATGCTTAAGTTACTAAAAGTAGAAATGCATTTATAGAGAACAATATGTTGGATGAGAGGATAGTGAGTACTTTAGACTCATTACATGTCTGTCTCTTATGTGAAAAATTCTGTTGGATTATACAGTAGGGAAAATAAGCATTTCATCCCCTGCTGATTTTTTGAATTTGCCACCTTACAAAAATAAGAACGGTCTATAATTTTCAGAGTAGGTCCGTCTTGAAAGTGAGAGATAGAATATAAAAAATTTCTAGAAAATCACATTATATTAATTTTTAACATTTATTTCTTTTTTATTGAAAAAAAATAAGTATTTCACACAAATCCTTAAGGTTGTAGGTTGTTGTTGGGCAACTCAAAACTTCAGCTCCCTCCACAGATTCCCTAAAGGATTAAGATCCAAAGACTGATTAGGCCACTCCATTACCATAATGTGCTTCTTCTTGAGCCACTCCTTTGTTGTCTTAGCCATATGCTTTGTGTCATTGTCATGAACCCCATCCATGACCT